TTTGCTGCTGCTTCCGAAAAAGCAAACACATTTCTCGGTGAGCACCCTTTTTGTCATAGCCGCTGCCTTTATGTATTGCTTTGCCTTTTCTCACTTGTCATTCTCCAACCTCAAATACATTCTGTGAACTCAATCAAGACAATCAAATCCTACCGAGTTCTGCGAGGACACACTTTGTGGTCACGATTTCAACATCTCCGCCTAAATATTTTGGCAACTGTTCTCGTAGATTGATTTTATTTGCGAGAGCAGCATTAGTGAAAGTACCGTCCACCAAAACTCTGGAAATAAATGTCATGAAAGTAAAAGGACGATGAAGAATATGAAATAAGGTACCTGAACGGTGGTGAAATCTTGTAATTGTACTTGAAGAACGTTAATATGCGATGAGCTCTTTTCAGCCTTTTCACTTTCATCTTCCACGTTTATTTCAACTTGTTTTGCTGAAAATTCCGATCGGTTAGTAACTAGTTTTCCGATGAGAAGAAAAAGGAATGCGCGGACAGAAATGAAGTTATTCCTAGTCAGAAACTCAAACCTGTTTCTTTACACAATCAAGTAACTTTGAGAACTCTTCCGCACAAGCGTCCTTCGATATCCTTTCCGCTTGTCTCGAAACACAAGCACCGTATGCCGCAGCCTATATCATCCTAACGATAACTTCACAAAAATCTACAAAAAAAAGATAGTCAAATGAAAGGGAAGAAATAAGAAAAAAGAAATTACGAAAAAAATAAAAGGAAATAAAACGCTGAATCATTAATAGTACACGTGCCTGAGGAGTACACGCTGCGAACGTCGAGGCAAATTTCAAAATCCTGCGTTCATTTGGCATAGCACCTCAGCTTCAGGATTACGGATTATTCATGAATTAACAAGCCAAAATAATCACGAGTAAAATACTTATAGAACTCCACTGATTACAGAATACCCCTCACAGTAAAAGACCATAAATATATTTATTCTCTGAGCAGGAATCATACAAAGTAGGCTTCTATGGCAAGTGAAGGCGCTATCGATGGAATGTGAAATTTTGACAAGATATGGCACTAGAAGACACGTGTTTGTAAGTGAACATGCGATGGGTATAAATAAGTAAGGCAAATTTGATTATCAATCATATCATATAAGCATAAATGCGAAGAGACTATAATAACTATCAATATCAGGACAAAATCGATGAATAGATAATTAAATTGCTTTTTGAATTCCTTAGATGGTGGTGCGTACGTAGACTGGTCAAAAGCGTTTTTTTTTTTGAAAACAGATTTGGCAATTATAGAAGTCCGATTTGAGACAGAGGCTGTTTATTAGCGGGAGATAAATCGTCTGTGAGGATAAAATGAAAAACATCTGGCATAGAGGGTAGCAATTTAGCGAGAACTTCTGGCTCTTTCGGAACTTTCTGAAAAGGCGTAATTGAGCTGCTAGAGAATAAAAACCTCTGCTTGATTAAGAAAATCCAAAAAAGTTTCCAAAAGAAGTTGGGGAAGGATCACAATGAATCGTGTATTTTATATCACCAAACACTCACGTGAAACAGCTGCTGTGAGATAGAAGTCCACCAGGCTCACTAGCGTTTCACGCCCTTTCGCTGACTCCAAAGCCTTCACCAAACGTGCAAGAAGTTGCAAGACTCCGTCCTTCGAGTCTCTCTGCAAACAATACTGAACAACCTGGTGAATGCAAAATTGAGTGGGACACTCACCTCTTCTTCGGAAAGTGGAGCGACTAATTTCGAAAAGAAACTAGGCTCCAACTTGGACAATTTTCCGTCGACTGAATCGAGAACTTCTCGCAAGTTATCCTGATTGACGCGATCCGTTAACGATAAAGCAGAACAGAATTCGTTGCAGGTTTCTTCTATGACATCCAACAACTTTGCGATTCCTAAACTGAAAGGTGTTAGGCAAAACTGCGATTCCCTTTGCAATATTGTAACAGTTTCCTAAGCCCTAAGATTGGGCCTTATCCTGAAAAAACCTCATAAGCTCTAGACACTTCCTCGAAACACATTTGAAAGCATGAGCGCGCAGTCTCTATGCTCGAACATCCTATTAGAACTCCATCTACGGAAAGAACTGTCAATGAGCTGCTCTTTTCCATTTGATTTTCTTTCTTGCAACTTGAAATGGTGTCTGTATAGTGCTCTGTTGAATTGACTTTGAGACTACGGAGAAGGCAATTTTTGGGAGCAGCGGTTGGAAAGAGACCTGTATCTGTCACCTGTATCACAAGTAGTATGCTGCGCGAACCATAGGCCCTAAGGGTTCTGGAAGTGGATATTCAAAAACGACGAATTCTACCCCAGGCTATTGAGCACTTTCCGCATTAACGGGCATCTTTTAGACGACTAAGAATAGCGAATAAATGAAAACAAATTAATGAATAGCGGTACCTGTGCTAGTTAGATATTCGATACACTGTATGAAAATCTGTCTATTAGCAGCCACTTGTTTGCTGTTGGTGCCAGTGTATGGATCTGAGATTGGCTCCGACTCAAAGCCAAGATAGCTTCCCACTTGAGACTTGAATGTGTCCAGCCTGTAAAATGGAAGAGTGCAATAGGCAATGGAGTTTAACCCAAAAACCCTTCGACTTTACCATGTAAGGATGGGAACAAATTGCATTCTCGAACTGAGAACAGATGTCGACGGCCAAAATTGAAATTTGAGCTTTCAGTGCCAACGTCAACAAAGAATAAGAATACGCTACGCCAACAATGCGTTGCCACGCTGAGTACCTAAATGTACATATCTTGCCAATTCAAAGAGAGACTCGGTAAAGAAATACCTTGATTTTTTCCCAGATTTGCACTTTTTCCTCGACACTCATGTTGCGCTCTCTTTTCAGCTTAACTAATAAGAACTCAATATTGTACCTGCGCTGAAAAGCTTGTTGTAGAGGAGTCCATAAAATGGATGCACCACAAAACCTTCGTGTAAGAAAGTGCCAAAAGGAGAAAATCGAAAAATAGAAGCAAACCTGGACAAGCGTTTGCAGGTTGGGCACAAAGTCAATGATTGATTGATCACAAGCACGATGGTTAGTGTCGGAAGATGTTATGCGGGTCTAGCCTATGCATGTTAGAGGTTTTAGCCAAACGGACAAAAAAGCACACCAATTACCGGGGCGCCTATTTACGAGGGACCGGAATTTGGCAGTATTCATGTCCCTAATTTTTTTGAATGTTGCTCGAAATTGGGTGTGAAGAAGTTTTGCAGATTGGAGATGAGGGTATGGATCTGTAGGATAGAAACTTTCGTAGTGGGAAAGGTTTTCGCTGGGGAAGGCCCAGGCCACCCCTGGTCCTGACCCTGGCGTTCATAACCCTCGACATGTGGATTACTGTAGGCGATACAAACTATTGAAATGCCCCCTCCTCGGTAAATAGACTCGTGTTTTTTTATGCTATAACGAGCTAGGCCGTTTACGTTACCGGCCCTTCATAGTACTGACAACTCGTAAACAGGGTAATGGCCGAAATACTGTGGCATAAATGAAACGGTTCACTGAGGACTTTCTTAGGGTGTGTTCATACTTTGCGATTGTGTAGAGCGCTGAGTGCAGACCACACATCACGAGTGACGACGGCCAAGAAAAAAAAAGCCACTTTTTTCTTGGCCCTTCTTCCTTGTGGTGTGTGCTCTGCACTCGACGTTCTTTTCGTTTCCCGAAATACAGAGTATCTATCGTCCGACCGCATGGTCGATACATATCTACACCACTATCGACGTATAAACGAAGTGCCAAGGCTAACGCAAATATGACCGCACCCTTACCTTATTCTCGAAACTCCTACCTAGGGCCCAAAAAGAGGACCTAAACAGGCGTAAGACCCTAAATGATGCCCAAAAAGGCCCCGCGAGGGAGAGAAAGAAAAAATAGGAACTTATTAGCGCGTCCAAGCAAATATTACGCCCATTGCCGGACATTCACCATAAACAGCTGAAATTCTACTTTTGAAATTAGGCGCTGGTGTTCTAACGGGGAGGAGGAAGTGGAGGGAGTGTCCAGCGCAGTTCTTTTTTTCAGAAACGGTGATTCGACTCTCAACGACCCTCCTAGCACACTAGCGCCTAAAAGCATACCACTAGCACACAGTACGAAATCTAGGTTCTCACGATCGTGATTCACAAACTTTTGGAATCGTAAAAAAAGCGATTCTCCCACATCGAGTAAGTATATGACGTATTGAAGAAAAGATGAAAAAAACAAACCTTAAACTTCAAACTGTCAAGGACGTCAGCCGCTGACGCTGAGATTGTTCTTTAGAGTGAAAAGCATAAGCAACGGCTCCGCTCACCAGAACACTTCCGGCAATAATCTTGCCTTTGTGCCTTTTGATGAACTCCCATGTCCCAGACATCCATCGACCAGAGTTCTGCAACGAAACTATACTTGTTTGAATACTTACGTCAATTACACAAGAATATAAGGCGCGAAGGTTAGGGTCAACGCGCCACTGAGCCCTGTAAGACTACAGATGATGTCGCGGCTAAACTGTGATAAGGATGTGATCATTATGCGAAGAGGGATGCTACACGCGTCCCAATTCTACTTAAATGGGTAAAAAATTCTGTCAGACTTAACCAGTTCAGTGATTTGGGGCTAGCCGAGTATTATTGTGATTTACGGTTCGATGCTCCCACACAATCTCGATACCAGAATAACCGACTCCTAGTGTGAATTAAAAAGCGTAGCCAAAACCTCTGATGCACAAGTGATGTCCTTAGCACAAAAGGTTCGAAGCCTCTCGCATGAATTCACGGCCACCCAACCAACCGCCCTCCCAAAGCGAAGAGCGATCCTAGACCTGTCCGAGAAGATAAAAGGCGCTTATTTGTACCTAGGCTATATCCGCAGAACGTATAATGATTCTTCAAGCTTCCTCTTCGTAGTGGACGCCGAATAAAATAAAAATGAATAGATTGTTAGGCGCTCAAATGTGGTATAATAATGAAAGGGATCGACTGCATGGACTAGCCAGAACAGCTTGACCTTCTCACATGCTTTTCGGTCTTATTCTTTTAGTTCCTACTTTAAGACGCTTTAGAGCTTAGATTAGTAAGATTTACATCTAAGAAGCACGACGACAACCTAGATTGGAGGAAGATTCCTCGATGGCCCGCGCCTGTAAATTTCGTCGTCAAATAGAATGCGTTGTCCGCAATGTTTTGCCACTTTATAGTCGACGCCTGTGCGCTTCCTTTGGCAAAATTACGCTCGGAAGGAACTGCTCAAAAATCGTCGTTGGTGCTATCTTAGTTGAGGGGAGGGGGTCCACACGGCGGCGCGGCGCTCTGCTTTTGAAACCGCCACGTGAAGAAATAAAACTGGCCCTGGGGCAAATTCTAGGAAGAGCAGACTAGCAAAGCCCACCGCCGCGTGTGGTCCCCCCCCACCTAAGATGCAACTCGCTCTTCGTTTCTGCGGTGTAACTCATTTGGGGGGGGAAGCTGTACGCGGCGGCGCGACGCTTACGTTGCTCTGCAAATCTGAGGGCCACAGGGACCTTTAATTATTGCCGCCGATCGTTAGAGCAGTTTCCGAATACCGAAAAAGTAGCACCGAGGGACCAGGTCTTTGCAGAGAAAACCAGACGAAGTGCGCCGCCACGTGCCCCGCCCCCAACTAATTTAACACCGTTCTTGCTTCAGTTCGATTTCCGAGACTGTGATTATCAAGTCCGAAGCGGGTTAGCGTCGAGAGAACATTCATAATGGATGCTTTATGAAAGCATCTAGTCGAAACTTTGGGCCTATGAAAGAAGTCACTCCGAACAACCTCGCTCGTTGTCAAAGGATCACAAAGGACTTATCATCGCGTGTACTTTGGTGTAAATAACATTTCAATTCATCAGTTGTCCAGCGCTGAGGCGGTGGGTGCAACAATCAATAGTCTCTTCAAACCTTCCTCAAGCATGAGTGTAAGTCAAGGAATTTTTAACGTTCTTCCGCAATCTGAGGCTTTGATGCTTTGCTCTAGATTACGGCGCTCCAATCTGCTTTCCGTGCTCTACGAGCGACGCCCAACCTTTAATTTGTTTCGCTGCCATTGCCTTGATTGATTCGGGCAGTTACTTCACTTATTTCTCTTGCTGACGTGCTTCCTGTCTTTTCTCAGCACAGTTCTGTCCGTCCAGCTTGTTCCACTGCTTCTTCTCACTAAATTATGTGTTTTTGTGTCATCCTTTCGTTTGAACAATGGTAGTGAACTTGGTTTGGTCTGTTGATTGGTATATGGTTGGCTTTGTTTTTGCTTTCTGGTCACTGTAATGCGTGTTTAGGTGCTAACCATAGAAATGGCAACTCAGTCGTCCATGGGCAAAGAAATGTAAGTTGAAAAGTGGTTCCTATCTATTCTCCATCATACCTTTGCTACAAGAAATACGTACACTTTCGTGACGACCGCACAACATTGGATAGTTATTAATCGTCCCATCGGACGATTGGTACGTATCTAATGCTGTGCGATCGTTGCGATCGAAGGACCGTTTATGGAGGCATCCTAGCGGTCGAGATTTTCGGCTCATTGTTGTTCTTTCACAAAGGTTTTGCGCAGATCTGCATTGTCTAGGGAAGGCAACCAAAATCGTTAAGAAAACAGTCCGCGCTACTGAGATCACTTAGTGCTCTGAAATTGAATATGTCGTTCATCGTTTCATTGTTTATTCATTCACTGTAGCTCCGTTGCCATTTGGTGCTCAATTTTAGGCCAAATTGGCCCAAAAATGAATGACGTATTCGTGAGGGTGGGATCATAGCTTGCGCTTCGAGCTTGGAGAAGATATGTATCGGTCGTGTGATAGCATAATCATACTTATTTACTCCTCACTCGGAGCTGCATGCTATTCTCCCCGAAGGGACTAGGAGACAAGAAATTCCTTAAATTTTGCCTGTCTTTCCAACTGGACGTTGAATGCTATACGAAGTTATTACGACTTACAGTCGATATCCGAAAGTTGGGGAGGCGTGTCACCGGAAGTGATGTGCACTTGATAGAAGTGCGTGGATAAGCTGTTGCCAGCATGCTTTGCTGATATCCAGCGATGTGTTTGGAAGCAGCTTATCCGCATACCTTATATCAAGTGCACGTCACTTCCGGGTGACACGCCTACCCCAACTCACGGATCTCGAGTATATGTAGGTAATAAACATGCACTGAAAATGAAGAAACTATTGTTCAAA